AGAGAAGGCAGACACAAAGTGCTCAAAGCAAACCACTTTTGTAAGTGCACTAGGCAGGAATATAGGAAATTAAAGAGTGCAAAATTTTGCAAAAGCTCCTAGCAGAGGAATTTAGCAACAGTACAACATTCCTTTATAGTTACAGTGCAAGATCAAGAAAGGATTACTAAAAAAGCATTTATATTCAAATATGACACAAGAGAAAAAGACTATCTAGAAAAAGTTTTCTTGCCATGTTAATGTTAATATCTGTTGCATCATTAGAACTATAGGAAATGTGTATTAGCAAGTACATAATAGAAAATGCCAAAAATCTAGATTTTTAACAAATACCTGTACAAAACAAATAATGTGCTGTAAAATCATTGCACCTTATTCAAAGCAAGATTAGAAAAGACCCTTTTAATATTACAAAATGCTTCAGAGCAGAGTATACAAAGTTCCTCAAGATGCCTACAGGCACATCATATGACCAAGACACAGGTGTGTGCAACTCCAGGACTACACTGCTCCACAGGACTACACTGCAGCTCCACTGCTACAGCTGCCATTAGCAAAATATCCAGAGGAAAGAAAAAATCCTTCAGATCATGGCACACTCGAATATAATGACAAAGGTGGTGAACTCACTGCAATGTATTGACTCAATTACTGCACTAGAAATCAGAGAGACTGCTCTGATACAGTGTGTTAGACCTAGAGAGAAAGTAGAATGATAAAAATTATCTGCTCTAGATGATGTAATTGTTTTTCTCTACAGGTCTCATCCATTCTGTGTACTGTGTTCTACCTTAACTTGGCTGATTACTTGATCAGGTCCAAAAAAAAAAAAAACAACCTAAACTTTGAATTATGAGGCAAAACGTATAAAAAGAGAAAGATGTAAATTTTTAGAGAAAAGCTTTTGAAAACAATTTGTATGGGGTGTTTTGATATGACAGCACTCTTATCGGTTTTTTCATATTTTGAAACACATGCAAGTTAAAAAAAAAAAAGGAAAAAGCCACAGTAATATTGGAGAAAGGAGTGCCATGGTGCTTTCATCACGCCTAATAGAAATTGGCAAGTAACAGACTGCAATATTAAGGAAGCCAGAACCCACTTAGCAACATGCTAGTCAGAACTGTGGTGAGTCACATCAATCACTAAATGTGGTATTTGTGACAAACCATTTATCCAAACAGACCCTGCTTCTACAGGTCTTCAGCTGTGTGCTCTTTAGTGAGTTGAAGTCTCAAATAAACAATGATTCTGTAACAATCTGTTGTGGTTTGAGATTTAAATCAGGAACTCAGGAGTTAATCAGAGGCAAAGACTACATTAGTGGCATGTAAAGTCTGCCACAGAATTGGAAATTCTGTCACCCCAGCAGGGTGAGAGCCTGTGGGTGCAGTGCCTTCTGTATCTGAGTGAGGGTGCTGCAACACACCCCCCTTGATCAGGTGCCTAGTAGTAGATCTCAACCACAAGGTTGATTTTGCCTAAATTACTGCCCACTCTGTTTGGTTCCTCTCTGCCCACTCTGTTTGGTTCCTCTCCTGTGACAAGTGTTCCATCCATTCAATGGTCACACCAAGCTGCCACTGACTGCTGGGTTCAAATCCCACAAAGCCGACCCTGTCCTGGGCTGCATCCACACCATGTGGGCAGCACAGAGAGAGGTGATTCTGCCCCTCTGCTCTGCTCTGGTGAGACCCCTCCTGCAGTGCTGCACTCAGATCTGGGGTCCTCAGGACAGGGAAGACTGGATCTATTGCAGCAGGTCCTGAGGAGGCCACCAAGATGGTCAGAGGTCTGGAACACCTTCCCTGCGAAGACAAGGCTGAGTGAGTTGGGACAGTTCGGCCTGCAGAGGAGATGGCCCTGGGGAAACCTTAGAGCTGCATTTTGGCACTTCAAGGGGGCTTATAAGAAAGATCAGAACAAACATTTTAGCAGGAGCTGCTGTGATAGGACAAGGGGTAATGGTTTTTAAGCAAAAGTTAGTAGACTCAGACTAGATTTAAAGAAATTCTTTACAATGAGCATGGTGAAACACTAGACCAGGCTGCCCAGAGAGGTGAGAGATGCACCATCCCTGACAACATTCAAGGTCAGTTTTGATGGGGCTCTGAGCAACCTGATGTAGTTGAAGATGTCTCTACTCATTGTAGGAGCAGAGTTGGACTAGATGACCTTTCCAACCCAGAGCATTCAATGATTCCATGGAAATGACAAATATTTAGTTGTACTTGCAATAGTTGGAACAAAGACTTTGGTGAAATTACTGGTTGTAATCACTGCTTGTTATGTTGATCCAACAAATAAAGAAAACATACATGGATTAATTTGTATGGAATCCATATTTCAGAGAGAGGACACTGCTCAGTTTCTGCCTCTTTACACATGGTCCCCTCACAGCCTGCTGGTACAAGAAAGTGAATCTCACTCCTGAGAGTGAAGATACCAACACATCCTAATGCTTCTAGCACATATGAGTATTAATTTTGGCACCTACAATTTTAGCTTATAGATAGACACACTGTCAGGTCAGATAACTGGTGCTGAAAAGGCAGCAATGAATATTAGTCTGACATGGTTCCTGACTGATGTCCACCTACCAAACTAACTTCCTGAGACTACCACATGCATTAAACAGCAAAGTAGATGTGTACTGTTAGAGAGAAAACACGTTTCAGTCATGAGTTTTAGAAGTTTGGACTCATGGATTTTCAATATTCATGAATCCTACAGCTAATGCTTACTGGGCAGCTCCTTGAGCAAGGCTGCTTTGCAGGCTCTGCATAGATTTCAGCAGTAAAAAAGCAATCAATCCTTAAGAAGATGGTGTTTCCTGCCTTTCCTGGACAGTAAAAGTGATGCTCAGCAGGCTTTTCCCAGCTAACCACATCCTGGGCTGCTTTCTAGGGCCCAAGGCTTGTAATTTCCCATCCTGTCTGGCCTTGTCTTACTTTATTGCATCCTAGTGAACTTCATTGGAGAAAACAATATCCTGCATTTGTTATGTGTAGGTTTGAGTTTAAACAATAGGGTACAATATGGATAATTTTATAATTCCTATATTATTACAGACCTGGAGAGAACCAAGTCTTCAGACTTCCAGTAAGTCTTTCTTTGTTGGAAGCCAGAGGGAATTGGTATAATATGGGAAGAAATACTGTGGTTTCTTGAAACAACAAATGTTTAATCAGTTACCAGGGAGAATAAGACTCTTTCCAAGAAAGGTGCATTGTTTTTTACACAATTTGTAACAGCTACCTTTCTGTCTGAGGCCCTGCATGCTTTAGTACAACTTTAAGTACATTTAGGCTTAACTGGAAAAATAAGGATTGTTTTGCTCCAGGTCACTCAATAAAGATTACACTCCTACATATTGTTCTGTGTCAAGAGTTGTATGTGCCTGCCTGCTTCACAACAGATGGCTGCATTTCAGTACTTTTATATAGAAGACGTATATGGAAGGTTGAAAAAAACATTCATTTTAATTCAAATTCTTCCAGCTGCTTGTATGCTTTAGTTCTATCCATTGAGCTTGATGTCATGCAAAAGAAGTTTTTAAATAGAACTTTGCAAATTTGCTCCTGTTCATTTTGTATCAAGATTTATTTGGAATGGTTGTACAGAGAGTATAAATCAAGTATATTTCATGTTGTAACATACCAGACATTGTTTCATGGGACATTGAAATCTGTGAAATGCAACATGGAATAAGACACCTTAAAATATAGTCTTTTGGTTATCAAAGTGAAAGAGCACTTACAGTTCTGAGAAGGGAGCCTTAACCTCTGCTTCCAAGCTTTGAATGAGCATTTCTCATGCTGGTTTACTTTTCAGAGCTTTTTTCTCTCCCTGTATTGCAGGGACATGAGTAAGATATATCGCAGAATTTTTTTTTTTCCCCCATAAAATACAGAAGTAAACATTTGGTTATTCAATTCACAGACATATGAGTATTTTTTCATGGCCTTTTAAGTCTAGATCATCAAAGTCCCTTATTGGCTTACCCCGTAAACACTGATTAAAAATGCTACTTTATGGCTTTGGCTTCAGTGATTTAGTAATTTTCCTCTGCTCTGCCCTTGTGCTCTGTAACAGAGCAGAGCTGCTCTGGCTTCCTCCGGGCTTTTGTCACCCAAGATTCATTGATGAGACACCTAAGGACTAATAAGGGAGCGATGTAAAGCCTCAAAGCTAAAGAACAGAGCGAATCACCGCCAAGAACAAATGCATCCTCTGAAAAAGGTCTTTTTAAGGTCCTAAAAGTCTTGCAAGCGTCTTTTAAACTTTGCTTCTCTTTCCTGGTTTAGAACAGGGTGAACCCCAAACCCACTTAGAGCCGCACATCTGAGCATCAGAAATACAGTTTTTTGACTGGTATTTATGAAGTGATTTGTATTACTAGAGGCAAAATCACAGAACGCTGGATAGAGAATACGCTGTTTGTGAGGGGGGAAAAAGAAAAGAAAATAAAATCGCGTTTGCACTACTTTCAACACAAGGTCTGCCTTTCTCCGTAAATGTGACAGGGACGGAAAGGACGCCGTCCTGGATCCCCGACCCCTTTCACAGATCCTACGGCCCTGGAGAGGGTCTCGAAGAGGACTCGTGTGTGGGAAGGGTCGCTGTGGGGGTCTGAGGGGCTCAGTGAGTCCCGCAAGTGCAGACATTGCCCTAAGCTCAGCCCGCTCCCGCCCAGCTCGCGGTGCGGAGCGACTCTGGGAGCGCCCCTCAGCACCGTCCCCTCACCGACCGCGGGGAGGCGGGGCCAGAAGCAGCGACCAATGAGAAGCGGCGGCTAGTCTCTGACTGACAGGCCACGCCATCCAATAGCAGCCTTCACTTGAGCAAGGCGGGGACACTGGGGGAGCTCTGCTATCCCCGCCCATTGGAAGGGGCTAGGGCGGGGCATGGCCCCTGGGCGGGGCTAAAGGCCTCAGGGGGGCGTGGTCTAAGGCGGTATATAAAGCTGGTGCGGCGCGTTTTCGGCGTTCAGTGGGCGCAGTGTGGCTGACGGTGCTGTTTGTGGTGCTCGTCTGTGCGCAGCGCCTGCCGCCGCCTGTCTCTTTTATTGTGTGCGCGGCTCTCGTCTTGCCTGGGTCAGCGGCTCCCGGGGCGCGCCTCTTTCCCTTCTTTTCCCTTGTGCGCTTCTGCAGAGCGATTTGTCCGCGCCCCTTGTTCGCTGAGGGGGGGCGTCCCCCCAGCCCGCGCCCCTTTTCTCCCCCCTCCTGGCCGGGGGCTTGCGGCGCTTCCTTCTGGATGCGTCCCCGCAGCCCCGGGCGGGAGGCGGCCAGGGGGAAGCGCTGCCTCCGAGGATTTACTGCTGCCTGGGACTCGGACCCGCTCCTTCCCCGCGGGCGCACCCGGCGCCCCGGCTCCGCTGCCGCTCCGGGCCGCCGCCGCTGCTGCCATGGACGAGAAGTACCTGCCCGAGCTGATGGCGGAGAAGGACTCGCTGGACCCGTCCTTCACCCACGCCTTGCGGCTGGTCAACCAAGGTGAGGGGCGGCGGGGCGGAGCGGGGCTCCTTGTCCCGCCGTGGGGACGGGCCGGAGTGAGCGGCGGATGCTCAGCCCGAGGTTCTCCTTCCCTTATCGGACGGCCTGGAGGGGTTTGTTGTGTTGAGGTTCTCGGTGCGGGGCTCACCCTTGCTTGGCACCGCTTGGGGGGTGTGTTGTGTTCAGGCTGTCGGTGTTTGCCGGCTCCGGGCGCCTTTCCCTTCCCCGGCCGGGCAGCATCGCCCCGGCAGCCGCGCTCGCTGGGTGCCCGCCCGCATTGTGCCCCTCGTCCCTCCGTGTGTTCTCTGCCGTCGCTCGCTGCTCGAGTTGGAGATTACTCCGAGTTGAATGGCTGTGTCTGCTGTGCTCTGCTCGGGCTGCATGTCAATTAAAACCCCAGAAGGTTTTCCTATTTTACCCCGTCTGTGAACAATGAGCAGCCGATTGTTTACATGTGTGTGAGCCTTCGGAAGAACGAGCCTGCTGCCGATGGCCTTTCCTAGAAACTTTGGGCTCTGCTACATTTTAATAACCCTTTATAAAAACACAAAGCATATTTTGTTTTGCAATTATATAACTCCAGATAATACATTACTCCCACCCCTTCTGCATCTGTCAAGTCAGATGTGCTTTAAAGTGCTAGCTTTTTGTTTCAGTGATGCAGTACTGACTGGAAAAGTCATTCTGTGTGAATTAAAGTATGATTTAATGTACATTTGGACATACTGTATAATTGGCAGGCGACTTTCAAGTACAGCTCTGGAGAGACAAATGCTTGCTCTAGTGCTTAGGATGCTCAAGTGAAATAAACTATGAACTGATCCTCTAACACACCAAACATAGTGATAGCCAGAATGATTTTGGCTTTAATTGCAATGTTTACAAAGCTGTGCTTGGTGTGCTTTGCATTCTGTAGTAGGAACAAGTTTAAGTTGATGTGGGTTCTTCTAATATGTTGTAGGTTTTGCTGTGTAGTAGATGTAAATGCCTGTCTCAGAATCAGAAGGAGAATTGCTGTTGTCTGAAACACTCTGGAATTAGGGGTAGCTGTCACAGTTTAAGCTGTAGAATGCATATGCTAAGTGAATTGAAGGTCCATGTCCATGGGTGGATGGAATATTGCATATTTTTCCAAACTCTGAATCTGTAAAAATGTCCCTGTTGATTGTGGGAAAAGGAGAATTATGTTAAAAAAGCAGTTATTTGCTGTAAATGAAAAAACTTGTAAAAATTAAACTTGATGGCTATAAATTATTGTAGTCCCTTTCCAGGTAGTGAAGAATCTTTTTCCATGTGCAAATTAATCCAGAGAGTTACAGAGCCATGTGATTTACTATTTTGTAAACAGTGTTAAAGAAGGTAAATCTGTCTTTTTGACTGAGTTTGTGATATTTCTTGAGGTTCTCATTGAAATGATAAATTGCATGATGGAAACTTTTGCTTTTCATTATGGTATCTGCATGCATATATTCAGGTCCAGAAAAAGAACCTATATTTTCAGTGTAAAAATGTAGATGTATGTGCACCCAACCTCTGTAATCTAGTAGGTGTCTTGATTTTTTTGTTTACTTTGAAAGTCAAGTCTTGGATTGGATTATATCTGAAGTGTTTCACACATTAGAGGTGGAGAAAAGAAAGATTGAAGGTGACTAATCAACTGGTTAGCTCCAGTTTAAAATGGAAATTTGTATAATATCTATGAATAATAGTTTAATTGTAGAATCCCCAAAGAGCCAGATCAGATGAAGTCCCTGTATAATACAGGTGGGAAATATGATTTCAGGAGGGGATGTTTTACTAACCCATCCTGCCATGACACTAACTTTATCAGGGGTTGGTTTTTTCTCAATAATTCTATGCACTTAAATGAATGACAATTATTAGTGCAAATGTATAAGTAATGGTTGTGGCTTGGGTTTTGTATGCCAGATCTACTGAGTATTTTCTATATTAGTTCATGTGGAAGCAAATGAAATAGCTTGCCTAGTTTTTTTTAACTGGGTTTGTTTATCTTTTAAGTTTAGAATGAAATAGGTTTCTAAGCTTGGCTTCTTTTGGGTATCTGTGAGAGAATGTCTTAGCAAAGGTTTTAAGTGCTTTAAATAACCAGCTTAATTATGTAATAGCATTTTGGTGTCTTAGTGGCATTAAATTTGCTGTCTGTATTTACTTAAACTGAAATACTGTACATCAGCTGGCTTTCTTCGGAAACTCAAGAGTAATTTGTAAGAGTTGTGTGGATGAAGTAGAATCCTTTTGAGATGCTGAAGTAATTGAGGTGTGTTTGCTGCTTACACAAAAGAGTCACATGGCTAACAAATTTCCAGTCATGTTGAAATTTGGTTTCTAGGGAAAATCCTGGGTCTAGACTTCTGAAATGTGGTAATTATAGTTTTCAAATGGAAGTGGATGAATTTGCATATTATGCTTATAATTACGCATTATAAGTTTTGTACACACAAATTACATAATTTTAAATTTAAAAAGTGAAGCTTGACCTGCTTCAAGTTCCTGAGTAACATTTCAGTTAAAAAAGAACAATGTGGAAATAACTAAGATGCTGTAAGAATATTTTCGTGGGCAGTATTATTAATCTGTCGTTCTGAATTAAGATATGAGAGGAGTTTCTCTGCCTTGAAATACTGTTTGGAAAGAACTAAAATCAAATATTAGTATCCTTCAATGTTCCTGCATAGTAAGTCCTGATTTTTCTTGTTGAGATCTCTGTTCAAGGATTTGATGCTCTGTTTCTTTGAGACAGAAAAACAATACTTACTGCTTAAATTTTGTTTTAAACAGTCACTGAAACATTTAACTGCTGCTTAAATTGTAGAACAGTGGGAATCTTTTCCAGGAGACTAGACTTTATCCCTTGTTCTAATTAAGAAGATGCATTTGTATACTTGAACATTAAGCCATCCTAAAAAGAGGAATTTTTTTTGCCCATAAATCCTTAAGTATGTTATAGATTAGAAATGGACTTATTTGCACATGTGGTAAGATGACCATGCTAATAGGATTAATTTGCAGCTGGTATCGGACACTGGGAACTGGAATTTTGTCCAGTTATTAGTTTATAGTAAATGAGGAACCTGGGGAAAGATGAGCTTCTATGAAGAAACAAGAGCTTAGTACATTTGTGTTTTCCTATTTCCAACTCTCATGGGCTCATCTTTATGCGAAATCTGAAAAATATTTGTCTGTGAGAGTGATGGTAGTTCTGAAATCCAGTCTTATTTCAAAGGCTGTCTTTGCAGCTGTGGTTGTTTGTAAATGTTGGTAAATGTGCAAGTGTAGTGTTGATTCTCAAAACTTGGTTCATGAGTGATGCTCTAAAAATACTCAAAGATCTGAGACAGAAAAGTTACTTTACCTTCTTTCACGTTTATTTATAGTAGTGATTCAAGACGAGCAGTTAGTGAATGTTGAATGAAGTATGTGAAACTGCAGATGGAAGAGGCAAACTGTAAATAAAACATGGTGATACCAGACACATTTCCAACAGGGGAGACGTGAAAATGGGTGCTTGGCAGTTGTTTGGTTTGTGTGGATAATTGAATGTGTACATAATGAAAGTTAGAGTTGCTTCCATTGCTGAAAGACAACTCTCTTGTGCAGACTGGACCTCTGCAATATTTCCTTATGAGCTCATTTTAGCTGTTTTGACACTTGTAGTACCTGAATTTGGCAAGGCTTCCTTTAGAATGTCGATGAGCTGATGTTCAGGAATACCAAGCCTTGCTATCAGTAGATGGCTGTATGTGCTAACTGTGTTGAATGGCTTCCCTGAGCCACGTGGCTAGTGGTGATCAGCAGGGAATTGCTGTCTCTTGTCAGATTTTGCTTGGAATTCAGTAATCAGAGCTGTACCTCCCTGAATATCAGGGAGAATGGAGTGTGAGGGAGTGTACTTGCTTTCTGCTTTGTGATGGATATTAGTGGTCGAACTTTTTTTTTTTTCAGCAGAGATAGTTTTGTAAAAATGGTTGAAGTAGGAGCTTAACAATAAAGGTTCCATATATATTACTGATTTTTGTTGTGGTTTAAGCTCAGCTTGGTTAGTAGGTACTGTGCAGCCACTCATTGCTTTTCTCCCAGTGGAATCAGGGAATTGAAAAAAGGTACAACTTGTGGGTTTAATGACTGAAATAAAGTAAAATATAATCATTATACTGGAAATTCAAAAGAGGACTAAAACCCAAGAGAAACAAGTAAAGCCTAATACAGTTGTTCCCCATCTGCTGACTGATACCCAGGCTGTCCCTGAGCAGCAATCAGTGGCTCTGAGTCAACTCCCCCCAGTTTATGTACTGGACATCCATCCTGTGCTGTTGAATGTTCCTTTGTCCAGTTCAGGTCACCTCTCCTGGCCGTGCTCCCTCTGGGCTTCTTGTGCACCTGCTGCCCAGCAGAGCGTGAGACACTGCAAAGTCCTTGATTTAGAGTAAGCACTAGTTAGCAACAACCAAAACATCCCTGTGTTGTCAGCTCCTACTGAGTCTGAATCACAGCACTGTACCAGGCTCTAGGAAGAAAATGAACTCTATCCCAGCCAAAACCAGGGCAACTTTCCATAAATCTAAGTATGCAAGGGGATTTGTGCTTTTCTTTAGTTTATCAAAAATAAATGTGATTGTGGAGTGACATAGCTGTGTTGTAACATAAGTAATGACACTGAAGCATCCACTTTCCTGTGTGGACAAGTTTTGTGGCATGGCACAGACACATGGTGCTGCTCATTCAGTCACTAATGGTGTTGAATCACCATCAGTGTAACCCCAAACTCTCCTTTTTGTTGCTATAGTATCAATCACAGAAACAATGCTTGTTTCAAGTGTCCTATTCTCTGAGGATTTCAGAGCACTTCATGAAGGTTATAGGTATTTTGAAAATGAGATATGGCTGGAGAAAGTTGACTGTGTTTTAAAATTACTTGGAGCATCGTATGAAATGTAGTAAGTTTTGTGCTCCCCAGATTTTTTCTCAGACTGCTGGTCACT